TACTTGGAACAAGTGAAATATTATGGTTTTAAAATCATTTTAATGACCTGTCAAGTTTTACATGTCCTTAACATCTTCAAATAAAATAAAACTTTATGTTTTAAAAATTATCAAATATGGCCCAGTGTGTGGCTCATGCCTGTAATCCCAGCACTTTGGGAGGCCATGGCAGACCGACTGCTTGAGCCCAGGAGTTTGAGACCAGCCTAGGCAACATGGTAAGACTCTGCCTCTACAAAAAAATTAAAAATTAAGACTGGGTATGGTGGCTCACACCTGTAACCCCAGCACTTTGGGAGGCCAACGTGAGCGAATCACTTGAGCTCAGGAGTCTGGGACCACCCTGGGTAACATGATGAAACCCCACCTCTACTAAAATGCAAAAAATTAGCCAGGCATGGTGGCACACGTCTACGGTCCAGCTACTTGGGAGGCTGAGGCACGAGAATCACTTGAGCCTGGGAGGCAGAAGTGTGCAGTGAAGCCGAGAGCGCTGCCATTGGCACTCCAGCTTGGACTACACAGATGCCATCTCAAAAATTAATAAATAAAATTAAAAATTAAAATAAAAATTTCAGGGGCTGGGTGCGGTGGCTCACGCCTGTAATCCAGCACTTTGGAAGCCAAGGCAGTGGGATCTTGAGGTCAGGAGTTTGAGACCAGCCTGGCCACACACGGTGAAAGTGCTGTCTCTACTAAAAATACAAAAATTAGCCCGGCATGGTGGTGCCACCTGTATCCCAGCTACTAGGGAAGCTGAGACAGGAGAATAGTCTGAACCCGGGAGGTGGAGCTTGCAATGAACCGAGATCCTGCCACTGCACTCCAGCCTGGGCAATAAAGCAAGACTCCGTCTCAAAAAAAAAAAAAAAAAAAAAAATCATCCTTTGGAGATGAACACTGTTAAAATTTGATTGTACATTTTTCCAGATTACTTTCTTGCAGATTGCTAATATATATATAATTGCATAATAGTGGAGAGTCAAATCAACAACTAGAACTTTATTTTTGTTATGTTTTACTTAAATTACATTGCGACAACTGAAATGGATGGTGGTATTTAAATTCATTTTGGCCGGGCACGGCGGCTCACGCCTGTATTCCCAACCTTTGGGAGGCCGGAGGAGGGTGGATCGCCTGAGGTCAGGAGTTCAAGACAGCCTGGCCAACATGGCGAAAACCCTGTTTCTACCTAAAAATACAAAATTAGCCAGGCACAGTGGCAGGGGGCCTGTAGCATACTTGGGAGGCGCTGAGGCAGGAGATGCGCTTGAACCCAGGTAGCAGAGGTTGCAGTGAGCGAGATCGCACCACTGCACTCCAGCCCGGCGCATAGAGTGAGACTCTGTTCAAAAAGATAAAAAAGAAAAAACCAAGAAAAAAGAAAGAATGTAAAAGGTGCTTGTTTCCAAGAGCAAATTAAGGACTAATGATCCTATTGTGACACAATGGCATTCAACCTTCTAGCACTTCCAGACTTCCAAACATTCCAGACCTTCAGACCAGTGCTCTCCAACATGATATTAAGATGGCCACATATCAACTTTCCATTTTCTTGTGGCCAGATTTTAAAGGTGAAAAGAAAAAATATAATTAATCATATTTTAACTCAATATATCCAAAATATTACCATTTCAACTCATAATAAATACTTTTAAATAATGAGATTTAATCACTTCTTCCTTCTGATGAAGCATTCAAATTCCGTTATGCATTTTACACTTACAGCACATCTTGATTCTGCCTTGCCACATTTCAAGAGCCCAATGTGGTCCAGTGGTTACTATATTGGACAATGCGCTCTCAATAATTCCTCTAAGGACCAGAATTTCTTTCATATTGTCTTTAAAGTGCTTTCATACTACAAGGGATTCCCTTACAGACTGGTGACAGAGAAAGACCAGGGAGAAGTTATAAAACCAAAATCATACAGCAGTATGATAAACACTGGTCCTAGAAACCATGCTTGCCTGACTGACTCCAACATTCAAGTTCTTAAGCTCTTCACTATGGAGTCTCCTAACAATATTGCTTTAGAGTATCAAACCAAGAGTTCAACAAAACTGTTGTAATAGTGCTTCTACGGGTGAATAATAGTTGTTGAGGGACTGATATTCTTTTTTTTTTTTTTTTTTTAACAAACATGCTCTCCTAGAAAAGAAAAAACTCTTTTTTTTGTTCTTTGAGACGGAGTCATTGCTCTGTCACCCCACGGCTGGAGTGCAGTGGTGTGAATCTCAGCTCGCTGCAAGCTCCGCCCTCCGGGTTCACGCCATTTCCCGCCTCAGCTCCCGAGTAGCTGGGACTACAGGCGCCGCCCAACAACACCCGGTTAATTTTTTGTATTTTTAGTAGAGATGGGGTTTCACCATGTCAGTCAGGATGGTCTTGATCTCCTGACCTCGTGATCCACCCGTCTGGGCCTCCCAAAGTGCTGGGATTATAGGCATGAGCCACAGGAGTCAAAAAACAACTGGTATTCTAATGAGGGCTGTAAGCTGGTGTCACTCAGTCTGACCCCAAGTAGAAAAGCGCTTCATCAGGAACACCAAGAACGTGAAGAAAGGCAGGGCAGGGTGCTTTCCAGCTTCAACTCCTTTCCAACAGCAGTGAATGAAAGTGTCTGTCTCACTGCGTTCTATTTATGAATAACATTTTGAAATGTGTTTACTAAATTGACAGTTTTTTTTTTTTAACTACCAAATTCAGGACAATGACTGCCTCTAGGGAAAGGACAGGAATGGGACTGCAGAAGGGCTTACAGGGAGCTTCAACTGTATTTATAATTTCTTTTTTCTATTTTTTTGAGTTTTTTTTGAGACAGAGTCTTGCTCTGTAGCCCAGGCTGCAATAAAATGGTTTGATCTCAGCTCACTGTAACCTCCGCCACCCAGGTCCAAGAGATTCTCCTGCCTCAGCCTCCCAAGCAGCTAGGACTACAGGCATGCACCACCATGCCCAGCTACGTTTTATATTTTTAGTAGAGACAGGGTTTCACCATGTTGAACAGGCTGGTCTCAAACTCCTGACCTCAAGTGATCCGCCCACCTTGGCCTCCCAAAGTGCTGGGATTACAGGTGTGAGCCACCATGCCCAGCCTGTAATTCCCTTGTAAATGGTGGTGGGGGTGCAAGTACCAGTATTCTTTACATTTTTCTCTACACAGCTTCTGAATGTTAGCAATATTCTATATTATCCTATATATCTATGTTATATTTTGTAAATTGTCCACAGTGCTTTTACCATCAACTGCCATAATCTTTTTTTTTTTTTTTTTTCTGAGATGGGAGTTTCTATCTTGTTGCCCAGGCTGGAGTGCAATGTCGTGATCTCGGCTCACTGCAACTTCCACCTTCTGGATTCAAGTGATTCTCCTGCCTCAGCCTCCCAAGTAGCTGGGATCACAGGCATGTGCCACTACCCCCAGCTAATTCTGTATTCTTAGTAGAGATGAGTTTTCTCCATGTTGGTCAGGCTGGTCTCGAACTCCCGACCTCAGGTGATCCACCCGCCTAGGCCTCCCAAAGTGCTGGGATTATAGGCATGAGCCACCGCGCTCAGACGCCGTAATCTATTTATAGGTTGAATGTGTTAACTTTTTACTGTCTTTTTGCATATTCCCCTTGTATCTTTTAAGGGGTGAACAAGTAGGTACTGGCTTCACTGGCCAGGTGCGGCGGCTCACCCTATAATTCCAGCACTTTGGGAGGCCTAGGCTGGCGGATCACGAGGTCAGGAGTTTGGGACCAGCCTGATCAACATGGTGAAACCCTGTCTCTACTAAAAATATAAAAATTAGCTGGGTGTGGTGGCATGTACCAGTAATCCCAGCTACTCAGGAGGCTGAGGCAGGAGAATCACTTGAACCCAGGAGGCGGAGGTTGCAGTGAGCCGAGAATGCACCACTGCACTCCAGCCTGGGTGACAGAGCAAGACTTTGTCTCCAAAAAAAAAAAAAAAGAAAAAAGAAAGAAAAAGAAAATACTCTGGAGGCACACAATTTGATCTGAATGCTTCATATCCTACATGTATGTATTTTGAGTTCAAAATTTCAAGCACCATCTAATACTAAAATCTTACTTCTGTACCACAAAATAATTTCATTGTTACCTTTAATGCCTTATAATGTTTTTTGTTGCCTTTTTTTAATTACAAGAAATGTTCACACAAATACATTCTTGGATACATTTTTCCACTACAACTTTTTTTTATTTTGAAAGAAATGAAAAGGACTACAACTCAGTGAAGCCTTTTGAAGGAGAGGAATTCTATGGGGTTTCTCCTCTCCTGGGGATAGGACCATCTCTCAAACACTATCAGAGAGAGACACACAAAAAGGTAAATACTTATATACAAGTAAAGCTTAGGAACAAAACCACAAACAACTGGTCTGCAAAGTGATCACAAGTCAAACAAATACACAAATATTTATTGAATGTTTCTATACAAGAGCAGAAAACGGGTAGTGTATTTCAAAAGTACCTCTTAGAATTAAACAGGCTGCAGCACTATCTTTATTGAACACTGACACACACACAGTTACCTTGCAAATAATCTGCGAGGTCTCCACCATTGCAATACTGACATAGAAAAGAGAAAGTAATGAAAATAAACACAGTGATTCAAGATTAATTCAATCCATTGTCAATTGTGATTAAAAAATCATTTGTATATAATGTCATGTAAATATAGCCTAAAAACATTACAGATTCAAAATTTTTAAAATTTTATATTCCTTGAGTAGAATCTAGATCACCGAATCAACTTTATTAATATAAACATTCAAATAATTTATCTACTGTCAATCTTAAGGTTCATATTAATCAAAAGGGATTTGAAATATGAAGATTTATGCTAGAATCTAAAAAAAAAAAGAAATTTGAAATAAATTAAACAGAAGTTTGTATGCTACCTACCTCCATCACCAAAAAGACAGAGTTGGGTAATTCCTGAAAAGTAAACATATTAAATATAATTTAGAGAAAAATTAAACACAAAATTTAAGTATAATGATAGTTAAAAATACCACACTTGTTCATTATTAAAACTGGTAAAATGAAACCACAAAATCTATTAGAAGGTGAAATTAAAATTCACAACACAATGATATACCTCCTCTACAAAGCCAAATCAAGTTTTAGTAACACTAATGTAGTTATCAACAAGTAAAATTTTGTTTACAGAAATAACTACATAAAGATTCATCTTTTGGTTATGATTGACCTAAAACAACAGATCTAGGACAAAAAGCACGGTAAATTTACAACGGGGAAAAAGGAAGGATTCTTTGGTCCTTGGGGAAACACTTCCTCTATGAAAAGTTTATGATTTGGAGCAGCAAAATGGCATAATCCTCCCTAGTAACACTAAATGCACAATCTGATTTCTGGAATATATTACTCAGGATGTCTGGTTTTTTGTTTTTCTGTTTTTTATGTTTATTTGGGGCAATCGCATTATCAGCAATTGTTGGCAAAGGGAAATGTTTTATCACATTATCAACACGTGTTCCAAAATGTTGAGGAAATGAATTGAGGCCTCTTAAAAAGTCTCTCAAATCCATATAACTCCAAGTCTGCTGTTGATTAAGTAACTCAAATATTGATTAACTGGCTCTTATATAAAAAATGGCATATAAATACCATTTATAAAAAAATGGCAATTTTTATAACGATAACTAAATTTCAGATTGAACTTCCCTGTGGCTTAACTTGAGCCAGTGTGCAAATGTGATTCAAAATATAGCTTTTGGCCAGGCATGGTGGCTCACGCCTGTAATCCCAGCACTTTGGAGGGGCCGAGGCAGGCAGATCACAAGGTCAGGAGATCGAGACCATCCTGGCTAACACAGTGAAACCCTGTCTCTACTAAAAATACAAAAAATGAGCTGGGGGTGTGGTGGTAGGCACCTGTGGTCCCAGCTACTCAGGAGGCTGAGGCAGGAGAATCACTTGAACCCAGGAGGCGGAGGTTGCAGTGAGCCGAGAATGCACCACTGCACTCCAGCCTGGGCGATAGAGTGAGACTCTGTCTCAAAAAGATAAAAAAGAAAAAAAAGAAAGAAAGAAAATGTAAAAGGTGCTTGTTTCCAAGAGCAAATTAAAGGACTAAATGATCCTATTGTGACACAATGGCATTCAACCTTCTAGACATTCCAGACCTTCCAAACATTCCAGACCTTCTAGACCAGTGCTCTCCAACATGAATATTAAGATGGCCACATATCAACCTTTCCATTTTCTTGTGGCCAGATTTTAAAAGGTGAAAAGAAAAAGATATAATTAATATATTTAACTCAATATATCCAAAATATTACCATTTCAACTCATAATAAATACTTTTAAATTAATGAGATTTAATCATTCTTTCCTTCTGATGAAGCATTCAAATTCCGTTATGCATTTTACACTTACAGCACATCTTGATTCTGCCTTGCCACATTTCAAGAGCCCAATGTGGTCAGTGGTTACTATATTGGACAATGCAGCTCTCAATAATTCCTCTAAGGACCAGAATTTCTTTCATATGTCTTTAAAGTGCTTTCATACTACAAGGGATTCCCTTACAGACTGTGACAGAGAAAGACCAGGGAGAAGTTATAAAACCAAAATCATACAGCAGTATGAGTAAACACTGGTGCTAGAACCATGCTTGCCTGACTGACTCCAACATTCAAGTTCTTAAGCTCTTCACTATTGAGTCTCCTAACAATATTGCTTTAGAGTATCAAACACAAGAGTTCAACAAAACTGTTGTAATAGTGCTTCTACGGGTGAATAATAGTTGTTAATGAGACTGATATTCTTTTTTTTTTTTTTTTTTAACAACATGCTCTCTAGAAAAGAAAAAACTCTTTTTTTGTTCTTTGAGACGGAGTCTTGCTCTGTCACCCAGGCTGGAGTGCAGTGGTGTGATCTCAGCTCGCTGCAAGCTCCGCCTCCCGGGTTCACGCCATTCTCCCGCCTCAGCCTCCCGAGTAGCTGGGACTACAGGCGCCCTTTTTTTTTTTCCCTGAGACCAAATCTCCACTCTATTGCCCAGGCCTGGAGTGCAGTACGTAC